GGTTTGTTATATACATAAATATTTCCATATAAATAAATATTATACTGCTTTCTGAAGCGATTTTTTTAATTTTTCAGAAGATGCATTTTAGTACGTATAGATGACATAGATGACACTTGTCATTCGCACGACCAGTGTAGGGTTAATCAATAGTAATCGGAAGACGAGAAACTCACAAATTGCCGCGATCGGTGTGACGTCATTGTAATTGGATTCGACGCTCGTTTGTGTTATGAGAGCGTAAATGTCACCGGTGAGTTCACTGGCCCGCAGATCGTGATCAATTAAGGCGGCGGGAGCAGGTCGTCAGAAATGTGCGATGTTACATCGTGGCCCGGCAAGATGAGACGTCTCCATTCCGATCACGCGCATTCCGGGAGTGCGAGCGCGGCGAAAGGCGCGTCTCTCGCGGTTCTCGCGTGCGACAGGCGAAATACGCGTCGCGGAAGAACCGGGAAGAATCTAGTATGAAATTCGGCCAAGTCGAGAGACAATCTGCCGATCCGATACACGGTATTCCTCCTCCGTCCTTCGACATTTCTCTATTCGACATAGTTACGCGCAGAAGTTAGGTAACATTCAAAATAGGAAGATTAACGATAGAAGCAGAAAACCTGGGAAATTGGAGCGCAAATTTATGGTTGGCTTCTATACAAAGTTATTATGTCTCGTCTCATCTATCATCACTCATTTCATCCTCTGCATTAAATTTTCATTGTTCCAATCGACGTATTTTTATATATTAATTTTCTTCTTTTCATTTTTTACTCATATTTATTTCTTCTATTACTTATTTTTATTTTGATTGTAATTTATTTCTCTCTATTTCTCTTTATCTTTATTTATTTGTATTCACTCTCATTTTTCTATTATCGATTTTAAATTGTGTTTCTTTTTTTATTATACTTTTGCGCGATAACTGTCTGCAATTCTCTCGTTTATACTTGTACACAGTAAAAAAACACTTTATATTTGTGTTAAAATTGGTCCTTCTTAAAAATTAAAATTTTTGTGTTAAATTTTTAATATCGCGTGTAATTTAATATATTGTACTTGTTATCTATAATTTTGTGTTGAGCCGATATCCATATGTAAGTAAAATAACACATTTTATATTTCAATATTGATTAACATATGGATATTATAATATTTGCATTACTTTTCAACATATTCACCTTGTGTAAATTAATTTAAACTAATACAAAGATTTGTACAAATAGTCTTGGGAACATATGGAACGTGTTAAATTGACCACAACATTTTTTGTTACGTTTTGAGTACGTTGCTCTTACAAGATATCCTAGAATATAAGATCAATACTTCATTCTATTCTATTAATTTATTAGAGGATAAGTAAGTTTTGCCGCATTGATATCAGTCGCTCGACCTTCATTTGCGTCGTTATTCTTCGCCATCTCGACAATGTTTACGTGACATTCAAATCGCTCACCAGAATTGCACACTGCTATAAATTTATGGCAAACTCGAACGAAACCATAATCTTGGTTGCTACTGTATCTGACTCGCGAGCTCGTGAGTCCTATCTTTGGGGTGACCCCAAGATGGATCTAAGCTGGACGCGTCCTTGCGCGAGGCAAATCGGTCGGCGGAGAAACGTCCGCGTCTAGCTACTGTCGCGCGAGCAGCCTTGCCTATGTCGGAAAACACCTGCGTTTCAGCGGCCTACAAAACCGGCAGACAATCGTTTGCTCGTCCGCGGCCGACCTTCCGCAGCGCGTTGCGAAATCGTCGTCGTTGTTCTCAGCGCGCTTGAGTACGATCAGGACGATTGCGAGGAAGCGGCGGCTATTAACGTCTTTGTGTCACTACATATGCGTTGCGCGCATGAATATTCTAACGATCGTCTGTCCGATGTCAGCGGACACGAAGGGGGAAATTGCTAAAGGTCCGTCAGAAGTTCGACCTTAATATTTTATTACAAGGGACACGGCACTATAAATGAAGAGGAAAGGTTCGTGCGTCGAAACTCGAACGTGCAAGACGCGTCAGACGACGGTCAAAATTCACGCAGGTAGTTTGCGAAAAATTATTAATCGCACGGTTCTGTAATTTTCGCGCGGTTGTTCGTCCAAATATGAAATACAATTTCTTCTCGCGAGAATAAAAGCAATCGTGCTGGTATATCTTTTGCGTTAAGCCGATGTCTCAGCAGCTTGTTTCTCTCTCTCCCTCTCTCTCTCTCTCTCTCCCTCTCTCTCTCTTTTTCTTTTGGTTGACGCCACCTGTGGTGCGGGAGAACTGAAAAAGCGGGGGACGGGCAGGTGAGAAAGAGAAAGATGCGGGGAAAAAGCGGGCGTTGCCAAAGAGAGACCCGTTGCCACGAATAAAATCGGCCGAATGGAAAAATCGGACGTCGGATGGGCTCATTACCGATTCGGCATGTGAATTGCTCAATTTGCAGCTGCTGAGACACAATCAAGCTCACTTCGCGTAAGCGTAGCAAGCAAAGAGAGTAAGAAATCGCTGAATTGATTGGGCGACACACTCAGAACGAAACGATATTTATTTATTCCTGGTATCACTTATATACATAGCCAATATTCGTTAAATGCGAGCGAGCATTTACCATCGATATTAACGAGGTTGACTTGATTAATAGCTTATAGACGATATTAACCCTTTCGGTACATTTGACGAGTGAGACTCGTCATCTGCTTACTTGGGCATAAAATGTATTACTTTTACATATTAATCCATATAGCGACAAATTAAATCCGTCTCATGGGCATAAAAATCTTAAAATAATTCAGTACTCAAAGGGTTAATAAAGCTGACTTGGACATCAATATCGCGTATACGAAGTAATACTTAAAAAATCTGCAATACTGCTTCATATCTAAATGAGATAATAAAAAAATATAGTTTCTTTGAATTGAATTAGCAGTAATGTAGCTAACATGTGAGATTGCGGAAATTAATCCATCTGTTTCACTATTTTGAGAAATCAACTCGAGAAATACAGATATTAGCTTTTCGATTTTTAATTTTTAATATAATCGGCAGCTTATTCGTTTATGAAGTAACATTTATTTTGAGAATTGAACGTTTCTAACAATGTGGTTTTTTGACAACAATGCCCAAATGAATTACGTGTTTTTTTTTATCGATTTATATTTTATATAATTATATATACAGGGTGTCCCAGACCACCCGTCTCACCCGATTTTTTTCGTAAACGCGACATTTTAAATAAAAATGTTTCAGACAAAAGTTTTGTGACTTCGAGGGGCACATAAGATGGTGTCATTGGTTTGACCTTGGATAGTCGTTTGAAGATCACGTGAAGGTCACCTTTAATTTCTTAAATGGAAACCCCCATTTTTCAATGCATATTCTTGTAGCTTACCTCGAGAGCTTTCCAAAACGCTATAATGAAACGTTTTTTTAATCAGTACTTTTCGAGTTATGAGGGTTGAAAGTTACGGTACCGCCGGCATTAGCATTACCCAAGGTGGAGGTTGCACGGTCGGATTTACACCTCTTTGTGTGTTTGTGTGTGTGAATGTGTGTGTATCAGCTTGTTTTCATGGAAAATTCGCCAGATCGTGCTGCGACTAATTCCAGAATCTCTTTCTGTACGTCTTAATGAATGGCAGGGATGCAATTGAGCGGATGCAAGAATCTCCGGCATCCTTTCATCTCTAACTTGGCGTCGAATTTGTCTACCTTTATTGTGATCCGGTTGAAGAATACCTTTATTGGTAATTCGGTTAGCTAAGCGAGAAAAAACTTTGTACGAATGAGGAGCGCGATCTGGGTATCGTTCTCGCCACAATCTTGCAGCTGCTCTAAATTGACCATCACATTCACCTAAAATAAGCATCATATCACAAGCTTCCGCGTTTGAATACGACATGGCTGGTAAATGAGAATTTTGTTACACCTTACGTGACAGTATCAGACATGTCATACATCACGACTGGGTAATGCTAATGCCGGCGGTACCGTAACTTTCAACCCTCATAACTCGAAAAGTACTGATTAAAAAAACGTTTCATTATAGCGTTTTGGAAAGCTCTCGAGGTAAGCTACAAGAATATGCATTGAAAAATGGGGGTTTCCATTTAAGAAATTAAAGGTGACCTTCACGTGATCTTCAAACGACTATCCAAGGTCAAACCAATGACACCATCTTATGTGCCCCTCGAAGTCACAAAACTTTTGTCTGAAACATTTTTCTTTAAAATGTCGCGTTTACGAAAAAATCGGGTGAGACGGGTGGTCTGGGACACCCTGTATAATAAAAAGAATTTAAAAGAATTATTTAAAAAAAGAAGCTAACGAAAAGTACGAGTTTTTTCAGCAGAATAAATGCCTCTACGTGTTAAAGAAACATGTACTGATCCTTAGTCTACGTTCGAATGATACCTGAATGACGATCAGTCGATAAAGCAACTGGTGAGTATAGCAGCAGTAGCAGCAGTATAAAATTTTATCATCTTTGCCTGACTAATAAACTACATTAATTATCAAAAAATTTAAAACAACATAGCCGCGTAGTGAAAATGGAATTTCAGATAATCAATTGATCGGAAGAGTAAGAAAGTGAAGACTTCGAGATTTTCACGATTTCGGCGAAAGAGCGACCTCACGTCGATGAGAGAGAAATCGACATTCCTCTGACTCAATCGATCAGCCGAGCGAGGAGCCGAAAAAACGCTGAATCTTATTTTTCTCCCATCATAATATCAGTCTGTTTCTAACGTGTTAAAAATAATGTGAGAAACTGTCGTTTGAAATTCTAAAGCAGCACGCGTCTTAGATATATTATATGTGAATCTATGTACACTCTATATATATTTTCTAAAATAAAAAACACGTATCCACATATTGTTTTATATTTAAGAACTTTGACGAATCCGATAAAGTTTGTCCGTACATATGTAGTAAAGTTGAAAGGATACATAAATAAAAAGGAAATTAAATATATCAAACGAAGAAAAAGACTAATAGTAAAGAGAAAAAGAGAAATACAGAAAAGTTGCATACCGTGCAATTCGCAAGCTTTATTCAGTATATACATACACAATGATTTGTTATGTAAAACTCAATCGAAACTTTTATTTTGAATACTGTACTAAGTACGCGCGCTACGTTTTATTACGTTTTTCTTTATTTTATTGACTTGGCATTTGAAAGATTTTTCTTATTTACTTTACGTTAATAAATCTTATTATAGACAATATAAGCGAATTACTGATAAAGTGTGAATTTTGATTTACTCAGGTGGAAAAATCTTTCTTAACGGTATTTGAGAAAAAATTTTATTAAAAATTCCACTGGTCGCATCACTGAAAACTTTTTCATAAGCTGGTTTAACTTCATCGAATATTTCTTTGGAGTTCTCATTTATGAATTTGTTCATC